ATATCTTTCTTGGTAATACATAAGAAAATAAATACATGTCTACCATTATTACTGCTGGAACACTTCACTGAGGTATATGGCAAAAGGAAGAATGATTAGAGAGGAGGACCTGAGCAGAGGTCACTTACTTGTAAATCTGTACTCATCCTCCCGTCTTCTTATTTCTAACTCTAAGAAAGAGGATGAAAAAGGCAACATGAAAATATTACATATTTGTGTAGTTTGGGGGAACAAACAGTGAGTATCCACTTCTTGCCCTCTTCCAAATATATTTAAAGGATGTATTAACATTTTGTTCAGCTTCACATTATAAAATATATATGCTACATCCTTTCTATATTAAAACAAAACAAAACCATGCTTAATGATAGTTGTCCATTTGCTAATATTCACATTTGTGAAATGCAAAATTGGTATCTATGTTAAGAGTATAATAATTTAAGTCTTCGATAAGAGTTAAAACCCCTCATACTATAAATATCATAACCACTTGTTCTTCCAGCACTAGAACAGCTTAAATATTGACTGAAGGAACCAGAAAAAATTTTGCTCCATGATTAGACAGTGCTTTTGGACCTTATAAAATGAAGGGATGATCAGTAGCTGCAACACTAGGAAGATGGCGGAGCAAGAGGGAAGAAAAAAAATCCCTTTGGTTCCCGAAAATCTCCTGAAAAAGAGGAAGGCTTACCAACCCCTCAAAGCCACCCAGGCAAAGCAGGCTCTTTTGGCAAAGAAAGAGCAGAGGAAAGGAAAAGGGCCCAGGTTTAAGCGACTGGAATCGTTTCTACATGATTCCTGGTGACAGCAACACGACAGGGTGTGTCTCAGACGACTAGAAGTGAAACCTCATGCCTTGGAATTGCCGGATAAACATTCCTTGGCCCTTGTTGTACGCATCCAAAGGATTAATGGGGTGAGTTCACTGGTGCAAAAGACCGTCGCAAGACTTCGCCTAAAGAAAATTTTTAGTGGTGTCTTTGTTAGAGTCACACCGCAGAGCCTAAAATTGCTGCGTATGGTGGAACCATATGTGACCTGGGGATTTCCAAATCTGAAGTCCGTCCGGGAACTCATCTTGAAACGTGGACAAGCCAAGGTCAAGAATAAGACCATCCCTCTGACAGATAACACAGTGATCAAAGAGCACCTGGGGAAGTTTGGTGTCATTTGTTTGTAAGATCTCATTCATGAAATTGCCTTTCCGGGGAAGCATTTCCAGGAGATCTCATGGTTCTTGCGTCCTTTCCAACTCTCAGTGGCCCGTCATGCTACCAAGAATAAAGTGGGCTTCCTCAAGGAGATGGGCTCACCTGGCTATTGAGGTGAATGCATCAATCAGCTCATCCGCCAGCTGAACTAGACCCAGAATATCTGAAAGCACAGTGCATTGGGAGCATGTGTTTTTGGGTTTTGGAATTATCAAGTATCTTCAGAGAAGATTATTTTCTGCTCTATCTTCAAAAACGAAGGGAAGGGTCAGGGAAAAGACAGTCGGTTATGCTCATGGCAGGAACCTCTCATCACAGTCCAGTTCTGAGGAAAAATTCCAGTGTTTTCCACTTTGGCTGCTGCCACCTCTGAAATCACATGCCATGGAGAAAGGAGTCCTGCTTTGTCAGATCTTCTATCCTGAGGTTAAACATTG